ATACATTATATATTATATTAATATATCGAAATATATTAATATATAGGGGTAGACAGATGCGCATAAATCAATTCGTGAATTAAGACTGCCTTAGTATCTTGACCAGGTGCATTGGGACCCGCAGGCGGTGGTCCAGGTGCATTGGGAGCCGCAGGCGGTGGTGCTGCTCGTGGGGCCTGCATAAATATAAAAGAGCTCAGCAAAAACATACGTGGTACTGTATATATAAAAACAAAAAGGCCAGCCGAGCTTATTATTTGCTGCCAGAGTTACTGCAGCAGCTCCTTCAGATCCTAAACTCGCCCCAGCATCATGCACCACGGGAGAAGGCGGAGGTGCTTGGGCTGCTCCTGCATCGACCTGGATATATATATATATATATAGGAACATATATACATATATAGTGTGCAATTTAACTATGAGATACCGTATAATCGATAGACATATAATGAGGAAAAAATATATGTATATATACATATATGTATACACATATAGTTAACATATGTATTTGTTGTGTAGTGCTGCCACAGTTACAGCAGAAAGCCTTTCAGCTTCATGAGAAGCTTCAGGGGCGGCAGTCGTGGCAGGTCCATCCTCCGATTGATTCAAGATAAGTCCCAGCATATGAATTCGATTAGATATTAACAAAAACCAAGAATGACTGCTGCCGCCACAGCTACGGCAGCACGTTCGCCAGGCCAGACCCCAGGCTGAGCACCGAGGTTCCCGGGCTGAGCCTGGTTCCAATGTATATAAAGACATACATATATATCTAAATACATATATATCTAAATACATATATATCTAAATACATAAACCAAAAAAAAAATATATATATATATATATTCTAGGCAGCGAATATCAACTGTAAACAGTTCTCTGCAAAACTTGACATGTATCTTCATATATATATATATATACATATATATATATATATATTCAGAAAGATAATGTATATATATATATGCTTATATATATATGTATGTATATAAAGGCTTTACTGTGCAGCCATGGGTACCACCAAGTCGCCCGGTCGCACCACTGACCCAGGCGGCTCCAAAAAAGGCGGAAACTCCGGAGGCCATGGCATAAACGGAAGCCCGGGGTACCTGTCGACACCGACGTGGTTGTACCCGCGGACATTCATCATCTCCACCTCCGGGACGAAGCACAGCACCCAGCGACCCCGCAGCAGGGTGACGCCTTGCCGCTGCTCATCGCCAGCAGTGCGCTCGGCCATGGCGAAGTGCTGCAAAATGCAGCTTTAGATTTAGAGCTATGCCTATAAATTAAGGCTCATGATGCATGAGCTGATGTATGTAGATATCCTGGTATCGTATGTATATCATATATATATATATATGGTAGTAGTCGTATATATCTACTTAATTAGAGATCTCGACGGATCCGTCCCCTGCCGGCTTCAGCTTGGAATCTGTATATAATATATATATATATATATATATATATTATATTATATATAGGTATACATAAGCTACACACACGTATAGTATATATCTCGCTAGTGTATGTGTATGTATGTATATATATATATAATATACGTATTCAACTATGTGACATAACATATATGTCTATTTAATTTTCCAGCTGCTCCGGCCAAGGATCCGAAGGGAAGATCTCGACAAGCAGGGCTCAGACAAACGGAGACTTGTCTGTCTACAAGTCTCCGTATATATATTGTTGTACATATTCTAAGACCATGCCTGTGCACTAACAAATATATATAATCTAGGCAACCTAAACATGTACATGACCCAGCGGTCTGAGCCCATGCTTGTAACTGCAGAAGCACACATGTCTGCTCCACACTCAGCACCGGAAACCCGCATTATGCCAAAGCCCAGATCAATAAAACTACATTAACATCTCCATGTATTCGATATATATATATATATATATATATATATATATACAAAATATATTTCCCCGAAGACACAACTCCCCTGAAATCGCTGAAACATATTATAACACTGAAACCTCATCCCATCCACTGCTTCCGGCCTCGGCAAAAGGAAGGCCGCAGATGGCGGGCACCGACCATGAATTACGAATTATTGGGAGCTCAGGCTTCTGTCATATATATATGGCTATGCATGCAGTCTACGTCGTCTGTATGCACACGTGTTTGTTTGATACGGGCCTCGGTGCAGTCTGGAGTGCGAGACATCTGGGGAATTCTGGCCAGTTCCTAATTTGAAAAACATATTCCTTGAATAATCGTGACTGCACTATATATATCTAGGATCATGGTCTTCCTAATTGTACATGTATGCCTGCATGCTCCTGGGCGGCGAAGCGGCGGGTGGTTGGAGACTTCCAAGCCTGTGCATTAATGCAAGGATTCGATATATATATATATATATCTATATATCTCTATAAAAATCGGTATCTATTTATACATATATATATATATAATATGTATATATGTATATATATGTAGAATGATACATATGTATATATATATATATAAAGTAAATATAAAAATATATATTTATATATATGTATACATATTTGTTTTCGTTGTTGATGCTGCTTGGTGGCTTCTGTGTCGGACAAATCCCTATATATATATATACATATATATACATATATATATATACATCATATACATATCTGATACACATAGCAAAACCCGTGCAAGAATCTATAAATCAATGTTTTCTCAATTCAACCAACGTGTCGGAATTTAAATTTTTTTCAAAAAATCAATGAAGTCAAGCAAGCTCGCTATAAATGGCATCTTACCATGCATGTGTAATTAGAGGAAAGCATGCCATAGGCTAAAGTATATGAAATCCTAGGACTTTCATACATCACACACATGCTCCGTCCGGAACCACAAAAAACAAGGCCTTGCGTTGTTGTGCTTACCAAACCAGCACTTTGGTCATATTTGAGGTCTTCGGATGCTTAGGGAAAAGCGTTTCAATCACGCTGGATCAGTTGTGCTTTGCTTGTGTTTCCTGAACCAATGCCATGATTGATACTCGCCCTTCAGCTGCACTTGAAACGTTTTTGGCTGGCACTTGATCTGCCCTCGGTCCCTGGTGGCAATATAATAAAGCCCCGGCAGTCGTGGTCCTTAGCATTAAACTGCAGTTGACATGTGAATGTGCTTGGACACATATAATATAAACCTGTGCAATGAGCTTGATCTGCAGTTGCTCTGTCTCTGCATGGCACTTGCTGTGCACGTCCTGTTGCCTGGCTGGCTCTCTGTCTCTGCAACACTGCTGCAATTCCTCCTTGTGAACGATCTGATCTAGGCAGTTCATTGCTGTGCATCTGCATTTCAGCCCTTGTTTGCGTGCCGATGCATTTGCACTGCATGCACTTGAAACACAAGTGGATTGTCTTACCTGTGTGGTGTACACTTCGATCTAAACCCTTTGTCTATGGTTTCGCCACAGCCCTTTTTATGAGCAGGTCGACTCTGAGTGATTCCCAGACATCCTGTGCATGACACACGCTTGCTTTGCTTTAACAACGTCCAGTGCCAACCCTACAGACATGTTGGTCGATTTATCAAGGAAGCTCACAAGGCCAGCCAGCCTGTTCAAGATTTTTGCAGCAAAGACTTTGCATTGGCCCGCACGGTAACACAAGGCCCTCTTCGCATGGAAACCTTTAAAAGAACAGCTTCTCCAAACCATGATGCACGACTTCATATCAAGGCTTCGCAAAACAAAAACCTTCGATCCACGGTTCCTCATTTCGGTATGGATTTCGCTATGAACATGCCAAGTGGACCACTCCGCAGTCTTCAAAAATGACCCCTGTGAAAATCGGACCCGGTCCGAGCCTCTAGGTACGCCCCATCCCCGCTGGTAGGCGTTCCCCGCTTAAGTTGCCGCCCAAATGGACCCTGTGGCCCCGTGTGCCAAAATCAAGTTCTCTTGTGGCAGTAAGCTGCAGAACTGTTTTAAGATGTGTCCAGTAAAGAAGGATAAGTCGGAAAGCTGCCCAGATTCTGCTAGACCCATGTCCCAGACCGTAGACACTACCAGGTCTCCAGAGTCAGAGACGTAAGCCGGGAAACCCAGACAAGACCCGCACCAGACCACTGAGAGAGAGAGAGAGAGAGCGAGCCACATCCGCAGATGATAAACGAAAGACGGAAACAGTCTTGGCTTGGGAGCACACATACTGTGTTTTGCATGGGTATCGGGAAAGGGAGGGAAGCTGCTGCGCATTGCCAGGCCAGTGGTCTCGCGCCCTCGAAGAATTTCGACGATTGGCAGAGGCCACGAAGTGCATTTCCTGGCAAATGGCGGTTCTCGTCACTCTTCGCTACTGCTGTGTTTTGCTTGGCCGCTTCCGCCCTCAAGAGCTCAAACTTCAGCCATCCCATGCTAGCCCTCCGACACTGAACTAGAATGCATGTCTGCGACGCCTCGAGCCGCACAATTGGTTTCATCTGTGCACTTGCGGTCACTTCAGTGGCTGTCGGAGGCAGGGTGTATTGACTTCAGCGACAGTTTACCCTGAAGCCTTAGAGGGCTTGGGGTTCAAACGCATTCTTCATGGAAATGGGTTTAGGTTAGTATCTAGGCATGGGGGGTGGAGCAATCGAGAATGGGGGAGTTAGCATTTAGCAATTCTGTCGATTGAGCACTTTCGTGCTGTACAGAGTTACAGAGCCTTCAAACCCAGAAAATCTGTCTGTTGTCAGGGGTCACCCTGAAAACTCAAAACTTAAAGCAAGGGTCGGAGATGTTCCTTTAGCTCGGAGATCCTTGTTGCGAAATCGGGATTTGACTGGATTCAAGATCCTCCACCACAGGTGTTGTTACCCGCCAAGAACTGGATGACCAGTGCGCCCTGCAACTCAGCACGACGGCTTCTCGGAGAATTGCAAGTCCGCTTTCACGAACTAGAGATAGGCTCATAGATGACGCTTCCAAAGATAATGCACAACAGAAGCCTGACAATTTGCCAGAGCACGAGCTGACAAGGCACCGCTGCGAGTTGCAATCTTCATGACCACGCATTGGAGCAACCTGAACTGCAGTTTATAAGTCAGAATTTCTTTTTGACTTCCCGGGTCACGACCCACTTTTCGGTCCTTACATAAGATTGATATATATATATATATAAGATTAAATTAGCCGAGGTACGATTCACCGGCAGTTCATGCCTTGCTGGGAAACTGCTCGACAACAGCTCACTTTGGTCCGAAATGCGGACCTCATCCTGTATACGAGCGCGAGCGGGAATGTCGGCAGCAAGGATTTGGAGCAACTTCATTTCACCAACTTTATTGAGAAGCACTATAAGGCAGCAAAGTATGAAGAGGGCGCCATTCAAGCCGTGGTTGACGCGTTTGGGTCCAAGGGGCATCAAGAGAAATGGTTCGACAGATATGATTGGGTTGTGAGGCTCAATCCGGACGTTTTGATCATGGATGACAGCTGGCTGCTGGAGACGATGGGGAATTCCTCTGTCGATGCCATCTTTGTAGACTGCAACGGCACAATCAACACGGACTTTTTCGTTGTCCGTCCACAGGTAATTCAAACCAATTTGGCGGATACGTGCACATCCGGCTCTGGGGACACGAACGCCGAGACGCATTTCACTTGCGTTGTGTCAACCATCATCTCATCGGGTCGCTACGTTTGGGCGACTCAGACGATCTCAGAAGTACCCCTGTTACACATTTCAGTTACTTGTAAGGTCTATAGAGTGTGATAGACAGTAAACAGCCCAATCTTGACACGTTCAGGCTAGGTAGGGAAGAGCTTGCAAGGCGTGCATGCCCCGAGTTTGAAACCCAAAACTTGGTCTTCCGGTCTTAAAAGGCTCACCGAAATGGAACAATTCATGGCAGAGATGGTTGCACACGGATCTAGACCTCCGTGCGAGAGTCTGACTCGGACAGGTTAAAGGCGCGCAGAACATTGGTGGATGTCGCGTGGTGGGAGCCGAATCGCCAGTTGTACATGAACATGGCTTTCGGAAGTGCTGCCCAGACTATCTCTCGGCGCAGGCTGGGGTCAAGGTTCCAGTGGTTCCAGGTTCCGAATTGGGTGGGAGGCTGGGAGTGTCAAGGTGTTAGTGCAAGGTTTCTGGGTTTTAGGGTGTGAGGCCGAGTGCATTATGAATTATACAAAACTTCTCAGCGTGACATGCATTACAACACGTCCAGCACCACAAAATGCCGACAGAATTAGCGCACAGTTGCCTGAGCTGCCAAGGCAAATTGCTCGAGAGTTCCGGTCAAGCACAGCGAGAAGGCCCTTCTCCAACTCAGCTGCAGGTTTTCAGGTTGGAGTTAAAATCTGACTCAACCCTGAACACACTTCCCTCAGGGATCGATTGCACTGCACGCTTATCTTAGCTACCTCAGCAGCTGATGTGGAAGTTGAGCTCGCGGAATGGCTTTGGCTGCCCAGGCTGACGGCTCGACACGTGCAATTGTAACCGTTGCATCAAAGAGGGCTTGTGCAAACGCTGATGCGATGACGAATTCCACGCTGTGTACCCGAGTTCCCATGACCTGGCTGCGACATCGTGTCAACATGACGGTGGTTGTTCGGACCGCTGAATCCGAGCATTCGCCATGCAGAGTCACAGGACAGCAGGAAAGGTAAGTCGAGTAGTCCTTGAACCTCGTGTTCAAGCCTTGCATCAGATACTTACCAGCTTCCAGCTTTTAGCTTTCACGCTTGTCCCCCGCTCCTACTCATGTTAACTCCGAAGTTCTGGCGATTTCCAAAGTGGTGATCAAAATGGAAAGAAGATCGACATGCACTTCCATGTACTTCTTGACCTCTACGAAGTCGCTGGAGAGGCATAGCGACCGGTGACAACTTGGCAGCTCTGAGAGGGCCGGCTGCCTCGGACGCCGAGGATTGGACCTGAGGGGTCTCTTCGGTTCTTGTTCTACCCACATATCCCACTTGTAGTTTTGATCTGGTGGTTCACCGGACGCATACAGCAGATGCCCCACATGTTGGTTTGTGTGTATGTGTGATGGTGAACCCGACATTCCGAGCATCGCGAACAACTAGCTCCAACAACCTTTGATCGGTGCAACTTGCATAAGATTCGGTTCGAGGCCTCCGTGGCTCAGCAGCACCCGGAGAGGAGTGTAAAGTACCTTGCGTTGAGAAGATCAGAGGCTGAGCCAGCAGTTGCCCCAAGTTTCCGTATAGCTGTTTTGCAACGCACCCTTCTGCGCAACATGTACGAACTGACAGCTACAAGCTAGGAAACACTACTAGTCAGAACGTCACGTCCGTGCATCTGTCTGTCTGCTGCCCATACACTTCTTGCGTGTTTATGCGAGAGAGAGAGAGAGAGAGAGAGAGAGAGAGAGAGGGAGAGGATCAAGCACCTGAACACTACCAGTCGTCCACGTACCTTCCTTCCTTCCTTGCTTCCTTCCCTCTTTGTTTCCGTCCTTTCCATTGGGGTATGTGTACCTTTAGTCCAGTATATAGTCAATACAGTCATAATCTGCATCTGTTTAATCGATCATGCAGTGACAGTCATAACTGTATCTGTGCGTGTACGTTATAAGGCTTTTCGTACACATGTATTTGTATCTGTAAAGGCATGGGTTGCTCGTGTTGCCAACGAACTATGGACAGATTTTGTTTTACCCATGCGCACAGTCTGTGCGCCGACGAAGCCAACTTCTGCTCGCAGACACCTTGTTGTGCATCTTGTGACTTTGTCTTCGGGTCTAAGCTGCAGTAGCCAAGCCAAGCTGGGTTCTTTGAATGTTCCAAGGAGTTGTTCTGATGGTCTAGTGATAGTACCAAAGGCCATATATGATGGATAATCGCCTCTGTGGAATGACTGTGCACCGGGGACTGGGTTGAGGGTTCGAGGGTTTATTCTTGATTCGGACTGTCACTTCGAATCAGCAAAGATTGCTCAACATTCTCAGTGTACATATCAACACTCCCAGGCCCTTAACCCAGACATCCAGGAGAGCAGTGAAAATTTTAGGTGCCACCTCGTTGGTGCCGCGGCTGCAAGTTTGGCGGCTTTTGTTGTTGCATGCCCTCCGCCCATTGACAAAGGAGTTGCAGTCTCAATTGAAAGCCTTTGCCGTCGAATGAGAGAGGTTTGACCGAAAACAAGCCGTCCAAGCTTGGAAGTGCCGCCATGCTACAGGTGCCCGGGTATACGTACTAGATTCCCAGATGACACAGACGAAACACCATCGTAGACACATCCACAGCGGCAACGCAGAAGGATCCCAATGCATCGCAACACAAGCCCAGTTTGTCCTCAAACCGAGCTTGTTGTTGCATGACCACTGCTACCCGCAAACAAGCTACATTCTGTGCTATATGTTGTCACATGTTCGATGCCCAATCGCAGTGGTGCTGTTATGGCCGTGCCCGGTTTTGTCGAAGCACTCTCAAACCCAAAGCGCACGCAACCCGCGCGAATCGCTACAAGCCAAACCTGGCAAATCGCAGGACTTCAAGCACTCGAGCTCCCAAAGTCCGACCCGTCCAGCTGAAGCATCCAAACTCCCAAGATCCTGAGAGTTGAGTTACTTGTTCCGAAACGTCGGATCTCAATCAGTGTTTTCGGGGTGATGAACGAAGCTCCAGACCTGAAGCCTCAAAGCTTCAGAATTTCAAAGATCCTTCTACCCAATCCCTTTCACCCCGCTGAGAGCATTGAGGGTTGCAACCCAGAGCCTCGGTCAGCCAACTGCATCTAAAGCAGGCACCATCCTCTCGATTGATGGGGCTGCGGAGAACAGAAATGTCAATATTTATGAGTCTCAGCCTCTTGGTCTGCGCAGACTGCAGGGGTTTGGGGATGAAGTCTGGGGCAAAGGGCATCGCGCATCACTGCTTTGACCAAGAAGTTGCTTATCTCCCATTGAGTAGTCGTGCCGCCTAGTGGCAGAGGCTCTTGACAGGTCGGCACCTGTACAGACCGCCTCGATGAGAACACATTCCCCAGTCATCAAAAATGGCGCTGCCGTTCTAGCCGTTCCAGACAATGACAACCACGACGGCCTATGTTCGTTGCACGGACACCGACGTGCCGTTTAATCATCCGTTAATGATCATTGGCCAATGCAGGCTGCCTGCATGTATTTCCGTTTGTTGTTGTTGTTGGTGGTGTTGGTGGCGGTGGTGTTGTTGTTGGTGGTGGTGCTGTAGCTACAGCTGGTGCTGGTGCTGTTGCTGTTGTTGTTGCTTTCGCCCTTCGATTGGTGTCTCTTCAGTCCATGCTTGTTCTCGCTCTACCGTTCTCGTTTTTTCGCTTATACTAATTGTTTTTGGCTGTTAGCTTTTGTTTGTGCTTGTAAGGTGGCGTTTTGCTTCGCGTGCTTTGCGCTGTGGCTCCCAGGTTTATGTTGGACACGCAGTTTTGCGTGCATTGCTTTTCTTGGTAGCAAGTAATGTGGTAGCCAAATCAGCAGTAAAACCAGGCCCGTGCTTGTAACCGTTTTAGTATGACATTGGCAGCGAAACTTCATGGCGCATCTCCGCAGGATGCACGTATGTATGTATGTACGTATGGTTGTGTTTCTGTGTGTGTATGTGTATATTTACATACGTATGTATGGATGTATGAATTCAATGTAAATACATATCTATATATATATATATATGTGTGTGTGTATGTAAGTATGTAACTGTGTATGTGCATACCTATGTATCTATGCATCTAAGTATGCACATACGCATGCATCGAGGCTTGCACGAATGTTGTTATGTCTGTATGCCTGTTCGCATATGTGTTTGCTCGTTTGTCGGTACGCATGTATGTCTTCATGCACGTATTTCTTTAGATATGTATGTATGCACGTATAGAAAGATGTTACTATGGTATGCATTTCTGTATGTCAAGGATGTTTGTAAATAGGTATATAAATGTGCATGCTGTATGTGTATGCATGTGCGTACATGTGTATGTATGCATGTGTCAGTTTATGTATGTATATATATACACACACATGCATATATTCTTATTGTTTACTTACGTGTTTATACTTGCCTTCATGTATGTATGCATGCATTTATGTACTTAGGTATGTATGTATGTATCACATGTATATGTGTGTGCATATACAGATGTATTACATGGAATGTAAGATCATATTGTAATGTTTTGCAACGTAATGTCTGTACGTATGTATGCATGCATGTATGTATTGTATATGTGTGTGTGTATATATATATATATGTAAGTATGTATCCATGCATCGATGTGCGCATGTATGTTGTAATGTATGCATGTGTGTCTTTTCGCATGCAAGCACGTGTGTATGTATGTGTGCATGCATATATGCAGGCATGCAAGCAATTGCTGCTTTTTGTTTGCGTGCCCACATTACATTGTTAATTGCATATCATACTTATGTACAAACATGTACCATATGGTTACACAAATGTGTTCATAAGTACACACGTAGCAAAAAGAACGACAGATATTTATGTGCAGGCCTGCGTCCCCCGTCCCCTCCGCTCCCCACCCCATGGTGTCCCACCCCTCCGCACCGGCCCACTTTCCAAGCTTAAGCCTAAGTGTTGGTTTTGCTCCAGCATGCCCAGCAAGCAGAAGCTGCAATCTTGCTGATTCGTCGCATGCTGTGCATGTTGTATTGACATCGGATTAGCTGCCAAGCAGCAAACAAAGCTACAGAGGTATTCTTACAGTTATTTGCCACTGGTGGCATTGCCATCCTTATTGTCGTTGTTTCTGCACTAGAAGTAGCGGTTTCCCCTTTTTGCGTTGCCGACGGTGCCTCTGTCGCCGTGGTATAGCCGTGGCTCTGGTGCACTCGCTGAGCATTGCACCCGAGACATAAAAGCACTCAGACATACTTACTTACATAATCGTACGTGAACTATGTCAGCGTAGACCCCATGCAGTGAAAAGGACACGTATACAGAACCGAGAAACATTCTAGGAGTACCCACGGAGCACGCCAGAATGAGCACGACATTGGAAACGCAAAGCGCGGGTCGCAGTCACAGTGTGCAGGGCGCTGATTTCGGGAGGCGAAAAATTCCCGGCATTCCACCAGGATACCACAGAAGATCGGCTACTGGTGTATTGAGGACCACGCCCGGAATGGTGTCCCGTGGTATGCAGGACGATTCGGGAACACACCGGGAATGCTTTCAAAATACTGACGGATCCAGGACCAGCACAAAACTGCTGTACCCCAAGTACTCATGATAGTTATGCTTCCCCTCCTGAATTTGCGGGATCCAGAAACACCTGAAATCCTTTCTTACACGTACTGCTGCGGTTTGAGGTTTTCGAGAGCGACAGGCGGTCAGTTTTCTCGAATGTACAGACCTTTTTAATGGATCGGGTTCCAGTGCCCACCGCCACATGTATTTGTTGGAAGTAAATGGACGCCAGCGAGAATTACGCATGCCACAGCCAGAACCCTGATGCAGCACGGGTCTTGTGTAAAGAATCGGACACATTTGCAGCATTTGCTGTAAATATAAGGGTTTGGGGAACTATCTTCAATCAGTTCTCCGTACCCTTGACGCAAGAACCCGGCAGTGTCACCACACGGTTTGTGTCAAAATATGCAATTACATCTGTATGTATGTGTATGTATATATATATATATATATATACATACATCTATTGTGTGAGCCCTCGTGTGGAAAAAGCTTGCACAGTCACACACAGATGCGGCTTGGGGAGCGTGGGGGGGGGGGGATACCATTGGGGGGTCGGTGAACCGAGAACCGGGATCATAGATATATATATATATATATATATACACATATACATAGGCTGCTGCGCCCCCCCCCCCCCCCCCCCCCCCCCCCCCC